AATCTCACCGGCTCAAGGTTGACTCAGCCTTCCATCCTTCTGAGGTGGGTGAAATGAGGACTCAGACTGTGGGGGCGATAGGCTGACTCTCTAAACCGCTTAGAGAGGGCTGAAAGCCCTATGAAGCGGTATATAAGTCTAACTGCTATTAAAAACAGTAAAAACTATAAAAGCAGAATTCAATGAGAAAAGGAAAAATAATAGATGGGATGGCAATAGTAACAGAGCCACAATCGTCATGTGAAGCTTCGAATCATCCTGAGGGCCTTGACAAAACTCAAGTCAGAGAGTTATTTATAATTACAGGTAGTCCTCGACTTAAAACAGATCATTTAGTGACCATTCAAAGTTACAACAGCACTGAAAAAAGGAACGATAGTTTTCCACACTTACGACCGTTGTGACGATTCCCAATGATTGTGTTGACAAAATTCAGAGGCTTGGCAATCGACTTATATTTATGACGGTCGCACTATCCGGGGTGGGTGGGTGGGTGTGTTTGTCCCGCGATCCCCTTTTGCGACCTTCTGACAAGCCAAGTCAATGCGGGAAGCCAGATTCACTTAACATCCGTGATCGTAACTTCGTCACCGCGGCAATTCAGTTCATAATTGCAGCGAAGGGGGATAGCAAAATGGGGCAAAACTCACTTAACAGCTGTCCTGCTTAGCCATGAAAATTTGGGACTCAGTTGTCATAATTCAAGGACCACTAAAGGATAACTAAATGCTTAATGCTGAACGAAAAACCCAAAGCGCTGGATTTTTTTCCTAATTTGGGAGATCAGAACAGAAATGGAAAGGACTAGTTTATCCTTTGCACTGAAAGCTAGTTTTTAATGTCCTTTGAATAGCTTATTCTTCACTTTTCTAAAAGCTGCTGTTAAATTTTTAGCAGTTCCTGCTCTGGCAGTTCTTCCCCTCTCATTCCTGTGAGTTCTTCCTTGTGTGCTATTTTTAGACTTCAAAGGTGAGGGTGGAGAGTTACTCCCATGTACACACCTGTGCGCGAGACGCACTGGGACGAGTGAGCAGAATAAAAATGCCTTATTATTACATTTCTGTGCCACCCAGCTGCTATTGATCTATTTTCACTTTCTTGTTCATCGTCTATTTTACTGCGCAATTATCCTCCTCCTGTTTCATTTGCTCACTCTTTTTTTTCATTCCTTTCTTTTTTTTTNTATATACACACACATATACACATAAACCACAAGTCAGCTGGGTCTGCAATCTGGGATTTCCTGGTGGTCTCCCATCCAGGGATTAACTTTAGTAGAGTGTGTGTGTGTGTGCGCGCGCTTTATACACACTCATATACATTCATATACATACTCATACACAAGACAGACAGACACAATCTACCAAGGTTAATCCCTGGACAGGAGACCACCAGGAAATCCCAGATTGCAGACTCAGCTGACCTCGAGCCAGACAATACCAGGAAGTGACAAGGCGTCTCGCTGGACCCAAGAAAAGACTTCCCCTCGAGGGCAGAGACCCCCGCCATCACCTCTTTCGCGCCACGCCCACCTCTGGCCCCTCCGCACCCCCCAGCCAGCGTCCCCATGGTTCGGCCCGAACACCCCCCTGGTCAACGTCCCTATGGTTCGGCTCGAGCATCCCCCTTCAGCGTCCCCAATGGTTCGGTCCGAGCACTCCCCCCCCCTCCCCGCTGGTGTCTCTATGCTTCCGTCCTAGTACATCCTCGCCGGCGTCTCCATGGTTCGGCCCGAGCACCCTCAGCCAGCTTTCACATGGTTCGGTCCGAGCAACCCCCCCCTCCGCCGGGGTCTCCGTGGTTCGGTCCGAGCAACTCCCTCCCCTTCGCCGTTATGCCCACTCTCCCTCCGCGTCTCACCCAGAGACATGTCGATCTTTTCCAGCGTTTCTCCGCCGCCGCCGCCGCTGGTGCTGCTGCCTCCGCCTCTCTGAAGCGAGGACGCCCCAGCGCCGAATCCGTTCATGGCCGCCGCTGCTCTCGTCGCTACCCAAGACGCGAAGCAAAAGCAGCAGCCGACGGAGAGGGGGCGGGGGTCTCTTTCAACCTTCCGCGCCTGCGTCAATTGGACGCCGGCGCCTGCGCATTCGGGCCGCGGCGGAAGGGAGCCAACCGCTTCGGCGCGTGCGCGTAGCGTCCGAAGCGGGGGCGTGGCGGAGTTTTCTTGCTCTGGCTTTCTCCGCATGCGCAGGGATTGTGACGCTAAAGCGGCGAAGAAGATGGGAGCCCTCTGCCCCCTGCAGGCGGGGAGGACTCTACGTAACCAGGATCTGGCTGCTATATATATATATATATAGGACAATGTGGTTTATTTCGACAATGTGGTTTATTTCGACTTGAGTTTAAACCACGGTTTAAAATCAGTAACACCACACCTAGTTTGGTTAATGAAAGGTCTGCAGGAAAACAACCAAGTTCAGAACCATGAGCTACAAAATATCCTCCTTTATTGAAACCAGGATTTCTTTGAAAATCCATTTGGTTCAATTCCCAGAATTCTTAAGTGGTTCACCCACCTTAAAGTTGAGAAAAACTTTTAATGTTGTATTAATTTCAGCCAAACTTGGTACACAGATGACTTACTCTCTGGAAACAAATACTGTGGGGGTAAGACANACTAGCCATGTTGGCTCAGGAATTCTGGGAGTTGAAGTCCACAAGTTATAAAGGGGGACATTGTTCCCCGCTCCTGATTTAAATGAAACCTTAATACTGTCCAGTTAGTATTACTGCATACCGTTTACCATCATCCACAGCCCTTCCCAGAGTACAAGTCAGCAACCTACAGCCTTCTGTTCTCTTCACGGCATCCCCGCAACCCCTGCGGATCCATTTATTCTAAACTAGCCTTCCCAGGATATTCTAAAATATCCCGGGAAATATTGAAAAAGGAAGAATATTGTATTTTCCCAGGATCAGAAATGGAGAAACATGTTTTTAGGCAGGAAACAGACTCACTTTTAATAGCCCCCACCTTTGTCAATGGGCCATTAAAAGGCCTGGGCCAGTCTATTCTACATAACAAAGACCTCCCCCTTCAGCTCCATGGTGATGGGAACAAGGCATGATAGCATTAGCCCTTTGCCCATCTCACCACAGGGCACCCGGGAAGAAGCAATGTTCAACCAAACCTGGACTCAAAACAGCCTAGATAGAGAGTTGCCCCTGCATGCCCGCATGGGAGTCTGACCCCCCACGGGCATAAAACCAGGGTCTTTCAGCATCTTGGTCTCTCTTTTCTTCTTCACCCAACATCTGGAAGCAAGGGATCCCCCTTTTCTGTTCAGGAGCTCAAGCTATGTGGTCCTGTCCACCATTAAAACCATCTTTCCAAGCAGCCTCTGTGTTTCCAGTGTCTTTTCCCCCACTTGGAACTGAACCCAGAAGGATGTTTCTCCCAACACAGCCTTCTCTGATTGAGAGGCTGGGAAACACATTTGTGTTGCCCAAAGGGACGAATTCAAATCAGAAACAGCTTAAGAAATCTCTCCTTGATCTCTCCCGGGAGACAGGATTCCCCTCCCTCCCGCAACTCATTTTCCAACATTATTAACTCTCTTAACAAATAGCTCTCTCCCTTGAGCTGGCCGAGAAAAAAGCAAAATGCCGGTGGAGATGAATTGGCTAAATTTCCCCTTTTTGTAAATGTGAATTTGAAACAAGGACGCAGTGAATTACAATGGCTTTTTGTCAAAGGAAATCAGGGACAATCCGAACTGCTAAGAGAAGTAACCACCTTGGTGCTGCCTGCAAGTGGAACCTATTTTGGGGTGAAAACACCTTTAATTGGCTCTTGTTCTCTGCATTTAAATGTTCAGTCTCTGGATAGCAAAAGAAAATTTAATTTTGTTGTCAGAGAACTGCAGAAAAACTCCAATCGAAGAAAAAGGCCAACAATGCTATACTATACCATTACTATACTTTAATATTACTATATTATATAAAGGTAAAGGTAACAATTCGGAAGTGACTTCTGATTTGCCCGTAGGGTCCTTTTTAGTCCTCCGGAGGCTTCGGGGTCCCTGAAGCCTCTGGAGGGCCTCCAGGAGGGGAGGCTGTTTCCCCCCTCCCCAGTCTCCTATAAAGCCTCTGGAGCCTAGGGAAGGCGAAAAAAGCATGCAAAAATGAGGGGGTCGTGTGTTGCATTATGGATGCAGCACGCCCACGTACAACCCCCCTTATGGCACGTGACCCAAAACAGGTTCGCCATCACTACCCTACACCATTTTTAGACAAATGGCTATCCAACATCTTCTTAAAGACTTCCAGTGTTGGGGCATTCACAACTTCTGGAGGCAACTTCTGTTCCACTGGCTAATTGTTCTCGCTCAGGAAATTTCTCCTTC